CCCGGCCCTTTCGGCTGTTCCGGCGGCCATTTTGAAGCCACGGAACAGCTGATCGGCGGGTCGCAAAGCGAAGGTCGGTAAGCGAATTTCGCCCATTGGGGGCATTGCTCTGCGATCGCATTAGCGATCGCAAAAGCGTCACCGTAGAGCGAATTCATCGCTCTACGGGGCGCTCGTGCGAGGCACCACTGTATGGGAATAGCTATATATTTGCCTGTTATAGTGCTGTGGAACTTCTATAGCATTTGCAGAACAGTGCTATTGACAAACTTCTTCCTTCAAATTCATAAGAAGTTAGTACAGAACTTCATGTATCTGAGAGGATAGGTAACAAGATAGGTATATCTGAATAAGTTTATAATGTGTCAGGTGTAAGTGAACTCACATCATGTACATGATGTTGCTGTCGTAGCCCTTCCATTTTGTTATTTGAATAAATTGACCTGCAGTCAATTTTAAGGTATATTGAGTAAAGCTTTCTACAGTATAGCAGTATTTAATGTTGTTACTTTTTTTCCAGATTGCACTGTAAGATTTTAGAAGTTAAAGCACCATTACATCATAATGGAATAGCCAATGGTCATGTCAACACTGCAGATGCAGTCACCATTGTCATTAGCGATAGTGATGATTCAGATGTGGATTTCGTTTCTGCACAAAATGGGTAAAGAGTTGTTCTAATATTTCAAAAATACAGAGGGCATTTTAAAAGGCTGAAGAGCTGGGTTATTGTGATTGCTGAATGCTTGTTTCAAAAGCTTTTCACATAAAACTACACAGCTGTTTTCCCTATAGAGAGAGAAATGGTAACATTCCAAAATCTGATAGGCAATCCTCCTTATATGCTTTTCTTTGCTTGTCCTAGAACATGTAAACACATATGCCTAGATATCCTGTGTTTTTTTTTTTTTGAAATACATATAACAAAGCACATTTTCCACTAGGTTTTAAAATCACTTTTTAAATTCTTAGATTTTAATTGCAAGTATGAGGTTATCCTTGCTTTCCAATACTGTCTTTTTCCCCTTTAAAGTATTTTATTCCAGAATGCACCAAATGGTGCTCAGTCCTTTTTGTTTTTCAGGAAGAAAATAACAATTGACCTTTATATTTAGGAAAGAGAAAGCCATGATTGATCCCTCTTTGTTCAAATATAAACTGAAGCCTATAAAGAAACAACTTTATGAATCTGTTACAGTGAAAGCATCTCAGATATGGTAAGCACAATTATTTATACGTAGTTAAACTTTGTGATATCTGTGCCTGCATGGAGCTTCTTGGAGCACTCCCGGGATGAGCTGTAAAAAGGGTGGCAACCCTGCCTGCTCCTCCACTGTGCATATGACAGCATGACCAGATGAAACCCTCAGTTCCTTTTTGTCTGCTGTCAGAGTAGCCACTGCACATAATCCTCTGATCTCCCCAGAGATTTACAAGATCCCAATAACAAGTACAGAAAAGAAGAGTTCAACGATAAAGGCTTATCTCTCTGCAACAGCAGCATTCAAATCATCTTGTTGAATACAGTGGTGCCCCGCATGATGACGATAATACGTCCCGGGAAAATCGCTGTTTAGCGAAATCGTCGTCATGCGAAAACCCTTTCCCTATTTGAATGCATTGAAACCCGGTTTAATGCGTTCTAATGGGGAAAATACCTCGTCGTCCAGCGAAGATCGCCCATAGGGAAGCCATTTTGCAAGCGCCGATCAGCTGTAAAAATGGCTGCCCTGCGAAGCATGGGTCCGGAAAACACAGGGCAGCCTTTTTTGCGGAGCCGAAAAAATTGTCGTCTTGTGAACAAACGGTTCGCAAAGCACGGTCCTAATCGACGTCCAGCGAAAATCCCCCATAGGAATGACTGTTTTGCGAATTGCTATAGCGATCGCAAAAAGTCATCGCCATGCGGATTCGTCGTTTAGTGGGGTGGTCTAGCGAGGTACCACTGTAATCCTATCTCTCTGTACTGACCAAGTAAGGAAGAGATTCCTGATTCTTCAGATTAGACCTCCAATTCTGCCATTGTCATTTCCTCTGGTGCTCTTTCATCTAATGTGGCTGTCTTTTGAACTTATGGCATCATGTGCATTCCCATGTGCTCACTTGGAAGACTGCCTTCTTAGTTGCCGTGACTTTGGCAAGAATGGCCGCAGACTTTTGTGCTCTGTAATTTGATTCCCTTTACCTGATTTTTCATGCAAACAAGGTGGTTCTCCGCTCATTATCACATTCCTTTGTAAAGTAGCTAATCTTATGGATGACTTGAAAATTAATTGCATAAGGAACACTTAATTTTAATTTGTTTTGGAGCCTAAGAGTTAAACTGTAACATAAGTATACCAGTGTGATAATGGTGAGTGTTAGATTTTATAATGATGTGTGTTCCTTTTCTTTTTGGCCTATGTCATAGCCGGAGGAAGCATCTCTTTTCTCGCAACAGACTTAAGCTTTTTTTGAAACAACATTGTGAATCACGTGATGGAATTATTAAAATCAAGGTAATTAAACAACTAGAAAATTCAGGACAGAAAATGTGGTTCATTTGTTTTTAGCTTATATGAAAACTAGCCATGTACATTCTAGTGTTTTTCACTTGAGTTTCCCATCTGCTAAATTCAGTAATTGTGGGAGAACTATATTTTATGACTGATTTTGTGTATGGAATATAAATTTTATGTTTTTGCTTATGAAATTTTCATTTAAACTTTCCATTTCTTAATGAGAAATGAAAATATCCTGCCTTCAAAACTTGATCTACTCTTTCTGATTGCATACAATGAAGACAGTTATGTGGGCTTTATATTAATCTATTTTTCTTATGGACAATACAACATGTGCAGTATTGGCCAAAATCCTGTTGCTTAGTGTAATAAATCATACTAAACTGGTCCTGATGAATCAATGGAGATTTGTTAAGTCAGCTCCTCCATATATTATGTTGGTTCAAACAGGCCTATTCTAACTGTGACTTCTTTTAGCAAAATAAGTTACAGTTAGAATAGAGGCCCTTTGGAATTGGTAGAATTTACAGAAGAATTGACTCACTAAATTTGCTTGTTCTGTTGTTGCAATAATTACTGTTCTAAAACAACAGTTTGTTTTTCTTGTTGCATTGTAGTACTAATTTCTAAATATTTGTGATGATTTTCAGTCTGAAGAACAGCATGTATAAATATTTAGTTTTCTTTTAAAACCTCTGGTTTATGAATGTGGGATACTTTGCTTTTGTATGCATAGTTTCAGCAAGCCATAACATTGGCCCTGGAGGAATAAGGTTGAGAGTTTGTTCCCAATACAGATGGCTGGGAGTGCTATGCAGCAGGTTGCATGGGGCAGCAGTACTCCAAATTCATGTAAATTCCTTGTGGATTAGCAATCCAATACTTTCCAGCTTCACAGACATGGACACATTTAATCCAAAAGGCACATTTCTTCTAGGCAGTTTGATTATTTTGTACCCCCCCATCATGAGATGCCTATACAGTGGTGCCTCCAATAGCGATGTTAATCCGTTCCACAAAAAAACTTCGCTATTCAAAACGCGGTTTCCCATTGAAATGCATTGAAAGCTGGCTAATCCGTTCCAATTGGAACGAATTGCCGTCGCTAATGGAAAATCTCAATAGGAAACCTCGCTATTCAAAACGCGGTTCCCCCATTGAAATGCATTGAAACCTATTCAATGCATCTCAATGGGGGAAAAA